AGACCTAAAGGACTCTTAATCCCAGAATCCCCTGCAATACATCACACCTACGTGTGAAGAAAAGGAGGGACAAGGAAATAAGGAAGGCAAAACTTAAGTATAAAAATCTAATTGAGGATCAGTTCAGTGGTGGTGACCTCAGAGCAGCCTGGAAAGGAATAAAATCCATGGCATCAATTAACCAGTCCACCTGTGGGACTAAGCCTCCTATCTGTTTAGATGGTGTGGATGATGCTGATGTTTTTAATTCATTTTTTTCTCGCTGGGAAAGGTCTGATTTCTTGGATGATATTTCAATAGTAAGAGAATCTCTTGTTCTTCAGAATGACTTTGTGATCTCTCAGGGAACTGTCACAACTCTACTGAAGGGAGTTAATACAAAAAAAGCTGCTGGCCCTGACGCCATCCGTGGGCGCACATTGCTTCACTGTGCTGACCAACTCAGCGACGTATTCACAAAACTTTTTCAGATGTGCGCTGAGTGTGGCCGGATACCCCCATCTGGAAAACATCCACAATTATCCCTGTGCCTAAGGCAGCTAAACCTAAGGATTTGAATGATTTTAGACCAGTCGCTCTTACTTCACTTGTTATGAAAACATTTGATAAAATCCTAAAAGCAGAAGTTGTCTCATTAATAAATGGTCAACTTGATCCACTTTAGTTTGCTTATCAAGCTGGCAAAGGTGTGGACTACGCCAAGGTTTTCATTTTAGCCACTGTGTACAAACACCTGAAAAAACCTAAATCCCATGCCAGACTTTTATTCGCTGACTTTTCCTCAGCTTTTAATAAAATGCAGCCTCATATTTTAATTGAGAGACTATCCTCTCACTTTAAACTTCCTGGTCAGATTTTAATGTTGCTCTTAAACTTTTTAACAGACAGAGTTCAGCAGGTTTTCGTGAATGGTCAAATGTCAAAAATAATTATGTCAAACACTGGTTCCCCTCAGGGCTGTGTCCTGTCCCCCCTGCTTTTTATCATGTACACAGGTAGCTGCAGAACATCACAAGAGAGCAGTTATCTGGTAAAGTTCTCAGATGACACTGTTCTGCTGTCCCTCCTTCAGGGCTCAGAATCAGGCCATGGCAGTGCTCTACCAACTTTTGTTAAGTGGTGCGATGACAACTTCCTGGATCTTAATGTCCTGAAAACCAAGGAATTGGTCATAGATTTTTAAGAACTGTTGTCACCCTGAATCTAGCATTATCCATGGTGGAGAGGTTGAAATAGTGGACTCATATAAATACCTTGGGACAGTGTTCGACTCTGAATTTAAGTTCTCTGAAAACACAGAGTCAATCGTGAAAAGAGGCCAACAGAGAATTCATTTGATGCAGAGGCTGAACTCTTTTAGTGTTTCACGAAGCATTTTATGTAGCTTTTATCATTCTTTTATAGAAAGTCTTTTAACATTTTCTTTTATCTGTTGGTTCAATGGGTTGTCTGTGAAGGACAAGAACAGTTTGAACCACATCGTAAAAGTCTGCTCTAAGATTTTTGGAGTCCAGCTGAAAGACTTGAGCTCCCTGTGGAAGGAGCGTGTGGTCCAGAAAGCCAAAGGGATCATAAACCAACCTGAACATGTTGTCTCATCCGAGTTTTCTTTAATGCCCTCTGGACGGCGCTATTTTGCCCCTCCAAGGAGGACAAATAGATACTCCAACTCTTTAATCCCTTCAGCTATCAGGCTGTTGAATGCTGAACAAGTCTGTCATTGTATTAGGAAATTGTAGATTGATAGCGCTGGCTTTCTCACTTGACGACCTATTCGTCTGTTGAATTGTTGTTACTGACATGTGAATGTAACTGCTTGAATGCTGTGGTGATGTGTTTGTTTCCTTTTATGTTGTCTTTGCGTTTTTCAATGGCTTGGTAGGTTGTGAAACGGAATTGCCCTTCTGGGATAAATAAAGTTTTCTGAATCTGAATCTTATTCCGTCCTGCAACAAAAGGACATCAACGGGCATCTTTCCACTCGACGGAGAACATATCGAAGCCGCTCTTGCCATCAAACGCCTCTGCACCAGGACGGACGGGAGATCTGTTCCAATGCCGGACTCTTTTCCTTCACCAATCACGGGCAAAGCGATTCACAAGTGAGGCTTAATTAGGTCTGGGCAGAATTAGCTTTAGAGAGTGTTTTTAACAATTGTTTGATTGATGTGAGAACTGTAATTTTTCTCTTTGTTGGACCGCCGCGTCCTGAGTTTTACCTGTTTAAAACTCTTGTTGTTCCTGTTTCGGACCGCTGCGTCCTGTATGTGTTTATCGTAACAGCTTTATAACCGGGTATTACTCTTCTGATCAGAAAGGCCAGTGTAAGCCGTATTAACTTGAATTCGGCCATTGGTTTGTTTCTGTGAATGAAGGGAATTACTCCGAGTTGTGGCGCGGGATTCGAACTGTGATCCGGCCTCTTCAGGCACGCATCTAACACGCACGCACGCACGCACGCACGCACGCACGCACGCACGCACGCACGCACGCACGCACGCACGCACGCACACACACACACACACACACATATTCCTGTGTAGACGCACATCTGGAGACTAACTCCACCACCACGCCAGTACACACGTAGGCTGCAGACTCACACATAGATTTCTGTACACTCGCAGTCATCCAGACGTCTCAGAGACACAGATCGTGCAGGGCCGAACTCGGCCTCTTTAGACAATAGACCACGCCAGGTCTTTGTTAGGTGTGCGCCATCGGAAGAGCGACCACGTAGAACGACGCAATCTCCCCCCTCTCTCGCCCCCCCTCTCTCTCTCTCATCCACACACACACACACACAACTCCATTCTTACTCCTTTCCACAAGCCTTCCTTGATAATGTTTGTTTGCTTAGATTAGTTTGTAAGTTATTTGTTTGATTAAATTTTGGATTGATGTTGCTTTGTTTAAATAAATTCTGTTATAATTTAAGAGAGCAGTTGTTTGTGATTACTGGTGTATTTGCATTGTGATATAAGCTGGGTGCGAGGGCTTTGTGTACGGATTTCACGCCTTCAATTTATTAAATATAGTTATTAATTATTAATAATATTAGTAATTAAGTAACTAATTTGAGACTGATTTGAGTGATATTTTGGTTATATTTCCCTGATTCCAGGGTGGTGCCCCAAGAGTTGATTAAACATAGTTTAATGATATTGTTATTTATGTTATTAATAATTAAATCTAATTATTAAAAAATATAACCACAGTTGACTTGATAAAACCCCAACACCAACATAGCATTTTATTCAAAATACACCATTAATTTATCTTCATTCAAAATATAACATTCATTTAATATTAAATGTGATTGTCAAAATAGAAACAAAACCTAGAAAAATTCAAACCTTAAATTCAAAACCTTTAACCCTAATTTACATGGTATGAGTTCAATATTATTATCAATAACAACCTGAGAGGCCTGGCTAATAGGTTTAACAGCATGTCGAAAAATGGCTTTAATTATAGTTATCAGACATACTACTAAAAATAGAATCGCCATTAAGGTAACCACAAGAGTGGTTAGAAATACCAGCACCCCAGGAACCCAACATTCCTTTAAAATCCCCAAATTGAACCCATGGTTTTCATGCAGTTCTCTTATCCCTTGTGCAGTGTCGTGTACCATATTCATAACATCAGTAGTAGCATCAGAAATATAGGAACAACATTCAGTACCAATAACTTTGCAGGTTCCCCTTTTTGCAGCTAGGAGGAGATCAAGAGCCATTCTGTTCTGCATTACCACGTTTTTAACCTCCTGAAGCTCTTTGTGTTCAGCTAACATAGCTCTACTAGAGGCGTTAAGATGATTCTCCAATACTTTAGATAATGCTTTAATTTCCTGCTGAGACACATAAACACCATATGATGGCAAAAGGATGCTTGCTGCTTCCTGAAACCCAAATATTTATCTTTTCTGTCTATCCATTGGTGGATGCAGGGCAGCAATTTCTTTAGATTCTACTTCTCTAATCATAGGAACTAAGTAGGCCAAATAACAGGTCCCTTTTAAATTTTGTATGGCATGCAGCTATAAGCTCTATTACCACAGATCAAATACACCCTCTCAGGGAGAGGCTGCTGTTTTATACTAACATTTATAACCAACTTACAAGAACTCCGACCCAAACCTGGTTCGTTGCTGTCTTCTATACCTTGGAAACATAGGGGAACATCTTGCAATTCATGCGTAAAAACTAGAAGAATGTACTAAGAGCAATCACATGGCGGTGAAGAGGAGAGTTGTTTCTTTTTTTTTAGGGATTTCTTGAAGGTGGAGAGTGAGGGAGGGGGTCTCTGGTTTTTGGGAGTTAATTCCAGAGGGTGGGAGCAGCAATGGAGAAGGCCATGTCCCCCAGGAACGATGGGTAGTCCTGCGGGGGAATTCTAAATCGGTGAGTTTGGAGACAGGATTCTAAAGTCGAGATAAAGTCTGTGTCATGGGGGTTGGTGGTAGAAAGTTCCAGAGACGGCGGGTCCATGATGGAGGTAAGCGGGCAGGAGGAACAGAGAGCGGCGTGGAGGAGGAAGACCGGAGAGTAGGGTCAGTGTGTCGGTATGAAGGAGATCAGAGAGGTACAGAGGTGACGGAGGTTATGGAGAGCCTTGAATGGGGTGATACTGATCAGCAGTGAACAGAAGGAGACTCTCCCTCTACAGACGACACAGAGACACAGGAACCTTCATATCCGAGCCAGAACCCAAACCCAAACCAAGTATAGAGAGGTTCAGTGAAGGTGGTGTGAAGGTGTGGAGGTGGATCAGTGTGTCGGAGGAGACGCTGTAGAAGGACAGAGAGCCAGCAGTGTGGTCCAAATACACCGCTGCTCTGTGCGTGGTTGAGGGGGTGAGGAGAAATAGAGCTGGGAGGAGGAGCGGGTAATAGGCGTCTCTACGTTATTGTGAAGGACAGAGTATTCAACTTCATCTTCATTATCACGGCAGCTCAGACTCCAGGACTGATCGTTTCTTCCAGACTCATTGTTTTCTTTCCTGCTGATTCCTCTGTAACTCACTGATATAAACACTCCTCCTGTCCACTCAATCTCCCAGTAACAGCGCCCAGTCAGACCTTCTCTACACAGCAGCGCAGTGGGGTCAAATCTGTCTGGATGATCAGGATATAACACAGAGCCCTCCACAAGTGTCCCCTTCCTGTTGTTGTCAGACAGTTGGATTCTGTGGTTTACCGTGTTGGTGTCGATTGTGAGTTCACAGGAATCTGAAGAAGAGAACGAGACACGATAAAGATGGCGTTATGAAATGATCATCGATGATTACTGACGGACTCAATCAATGGATTTTCATTAACGTAGCCACAAACCATAACAGAAGCAATTTCAAGACACATTTCAAAAGAGCGACAGTCGGTGTTAGAAAGCAGGATTAGTGTAGACCCAGAGTCTGTTCCCCTGACGTGAAGGAAGCTCTGCGTTTCCTGCTCCAGAAAGGGAGGTCACTCAAACCCGAGATAGAGGCGTAAAGGCCGGCGTATACTGTATGACTGAATCGTTACGACGCACGACCACAGCTCACGCTTTCTGTGCTCACAAATCAGGGCGGAGCGTTCACAACTTTTAATAGAAAACCTGCCACAGAGGTGGATTTCAGTTGTCTCGTATTATTTGAGGTGAGTTCTGATTGATAACTCCTCCGTGTGAATGTGAGTGGATCGGGGTTGGAGGTGTGTCTCATTTTTGAAACGGGCCCCGGTTTTAGACCGTACAAACATCAATCCACCAAGAGCGAGCGCTCTGCAGCGTTGTAAGGAAACACGTTCTTCTCAACCGGCAGAAACGTCGAGCCGAACTGAGCTCATTGGTGAACAAGCAGCTGACGTGACCGGATGAACCGAGAAAGTGGGATAGACGAGAGATGGGTTGAGACAGAAACAACAACACAGCAGATAATACCAAGCTATGGCTCCAGTGTCAATGATTATAGTATAAGTGTGATGTAATCAGGAAGTTTATTAACAATCATTTAATATTCAAACAGCTGTAGTGACTCATTTGAAATACGCTGTGAATATGTGACAAATATAAAAAAAACACTCACACTTCATCAAACCTGGTGTCAACCACTGGACTCCAGCAGGCTCCAACCTGAAAAAGAGGGGGGGGGGGCAGATTAACACATCCTCTGTGACCACAGAACATGGACATTACCTCACTCATATAAATATATTCAACTAGCCCGTGTTTGTGCTCATGCATGAACTGTACCTTTCTAATAATCATAATAATGTTTGTTTATATTTTTACTCATAACTTCTAAAACTAAACGCTCATAGTTCAGTGTTTTACGCTCGTGTGT